AAAAACCATGTCTGGCACTGGTAGCATAGGATGGATGTGAGTATGCTTTGTATGAGGTATTTCTTTGTGCTGATCAGTATTGTCTTATGCTGAAAAAAGGTGCTGTTGTGTTGAAAATGTGAGTTTTACTTATTAAATGTTTCCTTTTCTACGTTGGGTTTTGGGTCAAGCAAAGCTCAACAACTTTATAGACCAACTGACGTCTGAGGGGTGATGCTGTTAGTATAACACCAAATGCTCTTACATCTCGTTAAATTTTACTGGTATTTATTTTTAAGTAGGTTGACCCAGAAGACAGGAGGGTGAAGGAATAAGAGAAATGACTAGGCATTCTTTGATATCAACAGTTGTAAGACAGAGAAGAGCTAGCTGTATGGTAGCTGTAGGCGACTCTTTCTGAGAAATGATCAACAGAGAATCACCCAACAGGCACTGAAAGGGGAAATAGAGGAAACAGGGACATCCAAGAGAAACTCGGAGGCAAACATTGTTGAGAGAAGCCAAACCTGCTGGACTGGATTCCAGACAAAATATCAGGAGGATTGCACAGGATACAAGGGAACAGAAAAGTAGACAGTGAGCCCTATGTGACATGTGATGGTAGAATATAATAGGACAAGGAATGAAAGGAAGAAAGAATAAATGAATGAATGAGTGACCCAGAAGTTTAAAAGAAACTCTGAGGCAAACATTGTTGAGAGAAGCCAAAGCTGCTGGACTGGACTCCAGGCAAGAAATCGGAGGATTGCACAGGATACAAGAGAACGGAAAAGTAGACAGTAAGCCCTATGTGAAATGTGATGGTAGAATAGAACAATGAATGAAAGAAAGAATGAATGAATGAATAAATCCACAAATGAATGAATGACCCAGAAGTTAAGGTAAAGTTTGAAAATCCTTCTTTAGTGGAGACAAATAAGCTAGCTAGTTTACCACCACTGCTGTAATCTGATTTTGCTCTAGTTATATGTTCAGTCTTAATTAGATTTTTGTGCTTTGAGGAAATTCTTTTTTACCTGCGCATATGAAACTGATCACAGATAGGTAACAAATTAACTTTCTTTGTATTGCATTTTTGTAGTTTGTAACTGGTTTAGGATTTAGCAAAATCATTTTGGGAATCACCGTTGTGTAGCAGCTAGAAATTCTTCTGTGATCTGAAGGTCATGGGTTCAAGTCCTGATCGAGCAGAACTTTTCTTTTTACCTCAGAAATAACCTTGGCTTCCAGGCCAGCCTAGCCTTGAATGGGTACAAGGAAAAGTCCTAGAAAGTAAAGGGGGGATGGTGTAACGTTGAGCACATCACCCATTGAGTGATGATTATTCTATAAAGTATAGGCCTAGCCCTTTATGCCCAGCATGCCCAAAAGCAGAGAAAAGGGTCCTTCCTGTTATTCTTTAGATAAACTAAAATAGTTATACAATCCAAATCTCAGTGTTCATATAGCAGGCGGTGTCACAGTAAACCTTCCTAGTGACTTTCAGACAGTCAGTGGTAGAGGAGTCAGATCATGAAGGAGGGAAGGGCCACACCAAGTAACATTCCCACAGGCACCAGTGGATCTCATGCTATGTTATATTGCGCTGTGTTATGTTATGTTATGCTATGTTATGCCAGTGCTGTGTTATGCTAATGTTATGTTATGCTAATGTTACACTGATGTTATGCTAATGTTATGCTAATGTTATGTTATGCTAATGTTATGCTAATGCTATGCTATATTATGCTATGTTTTGTTATGTTTAGTTTATACGGATCAACATCGTGACACGAGGGTAGCAGCCCATAAGTGCTCCGTTCTATTTCTAATTCAAGCCTGAGTCCAAAGAATCTCAGCGCAGTGCATGGAATCCGTAGCACTGGTCGAGGATCCTGAAATCCTTTGGGTAGATTTTTAACTCAAAATTTTGTCCGGGCAGCACCGTTAAGCTACACTTGTTCAAATTCCAACTGCCAAGGGAATTTTTTTTGCGTGCGCAACAATACACATGGGTATCTGTTATGTTATGTATGCTATGCTGTGTTATTTTATGCTGTGTTATTTTATGCTGCCTTAAGCTGTGTTATGGTGTATTATGTTATACTATGTTATATTATGCTATGTTTTGTTATATTATCACAATTACGTCACTGCACATTAGGAATTCTCATGTGTGCTGAATCCGCAGATACTTGCTTTACTTTAATAAACCCCCCTCCCCCCGCCCCATGCATTCTTGTCATAAGTAATGAGCAGAGAAGGTTTGGCATGAGCAGAGTGGGTTGGCATGAGCAGTCAAGCGTAAACAAGACTTTAAATTTCTCAAAGCAAAAAGTAAAAGTGGACTGAACCAATTGCTTACAAAATGCACTGAAAAAGCTGTAGCTGGTCAGTCCTCTGATGCACCAGTGGTTGCATCTACTTTGTAAAAGTGGCGTAGATTTAAAAGTAAATAATTATAACTGTTGTTTTTCTTTTATTTCAGCTGAAAAATATTTTGCCCAAGAGACTGATTTTCTTCTAATGAATAAAAGGAAATAGCAGTTTGTGTAAAGACATGAAAGAGGAATGTGCGACAAGCAACTCTGGAGGACATGATGTCCAGATCGTTGGGTCTCCAAGTTCTGATCTGCTCAGTGGTATAGTCTTCTTTTTTTTCTTCTTCTACTTCACATTAACCGTCTGTAAACTCAGGTTGAAAGTTCTGGTTGTTAATTTTACCCTTGTTGCAGAACCTGAGTTTTATTTGCAGATTCATATTACAGATCTGGCTTATTTGTATGCAGACTGGTTGGTTTCTTCCCTCTCAGCAGACATATTCTGATTTAATGGAAATTATCACTAATAAGTCAACTCTTACGACATGTTTGTTTTGGGAAAAGGGGGGGGGGGGGGGGGGGGGGGTGTATTCTGTCTTTACGGCACCCACCCTCCCCATTTTTTTTGGAAGAGAGAGAGAGTGTCGGCACCCACCCAGAGAGAGGAGGAGAGGGAGGCTTAAGGGTGCCCAGAGAGAGGAGGAGAGGATGTGTAGCGGTTGCCCCAAGGGGAGAGGAGTGTAGGGTGGCCCCAGAGAGAGGAGTGTAGTGTAGGGTGGCCCCAGGAGGATGAGAGAGAGAGAGGAGTGTAGGGTGGCCCCAGAGAGAGGAGAGAGAGGTTTGGTGTAGGGTGGCCCCAGAGAGAGGAGTGAGGAGTGTAGGGTGGCCCCAGAGAGAGGAGAGAGGAGTGTAGGGTGGCCCCAGAGAGAGGAGAGAGGAGTGTAGGGTGGCCCCAGAGAGAGGAGAGAGGAGTGTAGGGTGGCCCCAGAGAGAGGAGAGAGGAGTGTAGGGTGGCCCCAGAGAGAGGAGAGAGGAGTGTAGGGTGGCCCCAGAGAGAGGAGTGTAGGGTGGCCCCAGAGAGAGGAGAGAGGAGTGTAGGGTGGCCCCAGAGAGAGGAGAGAGGAGTGTAAAGGTGGCCCCAGAGAGAGGAGAGAGGAGTGTAGGGTGGCCCCAGAGCCAACACCAGAAGGTAAATAGTCAGTTTTGTTTTAGTTGCTTTAGTGAGTTAATGAGGGAGGCTTGGCTTTTGGGTTTTATATCTTCTTCATGTTCACCAGCTGTAAACTTCAGTAGAAAGTTCTGGTTGTTCGTCCAGTTCTGAACTCAAGTCCTGTTCCAGAACCTGAGATTTGCATGCACATCCATTTTACAAATTTGATTAATGTGTGTGCAGACTGTTGGTTCCTTGCCTTTCAAGCAGATGTACTCCGTCTTCGAAGGAAGATCCCTGCCAAGTCAACTCTTAAGACAAGCGTTTGGTTAGGCAGTGGGTCTGTTCTTGTTTTCCCCCACAGTGGGCCCCAGAACCCACATGGGTTATGTATCTGATTGGAAACGAGGTGACAGTGTTGCCTTTAGTGTCAGCTGGAGCCTGAGAGAGAGGAGAGAACATTCTGACATGTCAACTTGGTGGTCAGAGTTTGATGTCCAGTTGTAAATTTTTGTGTGTGGCCATTTATCACAAATCTTTTGAGTTTATCTGTCTTTATAAAATGGGGACTAGCAGATCTCTGGGAAAAAGAGGCAGGGAGAAGGAGAGTTTACAACAACATGACAAAATACACTGATGTAGATTCACTGAAGAACCCTTGCCCATACCTTTAGACATAAAGTTCTAGCCTGATATTTTTGTAGACTCAGATCAGGAAAAAAAAGTCATGGATTTTGGTTGCGGACATTCGTTTGTGCATTTTAATGAGCAGGTTGATAGATTGGATGCTGCAGCTTTCCTGGGTAGTGAGCAAAGGGACGCAGGAAATGCTCTCTGGGATCAAGTGGACAATGCAACAGGGTATCCATATCTTGAAAGACTAATTCAGTGAGGGGCGAACTTTAGTAATGTCTGTCATGAGGGAACCTTGACCTAGATATAGTTTTGGTCACTTCAGGCTTAAGTGGTGTCTGCCATGAGATAACCTTGACCTAGATATAGTTTTGGTCACTTCAGGCTTAAGTGGTGTCTGCCATGAGATAACCTTGACCTAGATATAGTTTTGGTCACTTCAGGCTTAAGTGGTGTCTGCCATGAGATAACCTTGACCTAGATATAGTTTTGGTCACTTCAGGCTTAAGTGGTGTCTGCCATGAGATACCCTTGACCTAGATATATTTTTGGTCACTTCAGGCTTAAGTGGTGTCTGCCATGAGATAACCTTGACCTAGATAAAGTTTTGGTCACTTCAGGCTTAAGTGGTGTCTGCCATGAGATAACCTTGACCTAGATATAGTTTTTGTCACTTCAGACTTACGTGGTGTCTGCCATGAGATAACCTTGACCTAGATATAGTTTTTGTCACTTCAGACTTAAGTGGTGTCTGCCATGAGATAACCTTGACCTAGATATAGTTTTTGTCACTTCAGACTTACATGGTGTCTGCCATGAGATAACCTTGACCTAGATATAGTTTTTTTGGTCACTTCAGGCTTAAGTGGTGTCTGCCATGATATAACCTTGACTCTTTTAAGTGCTGTCCAACAGAGGCGAAATTCCTGCGAGGACAGAGCAATGGAAAGCAGTTCCGACTGGCAGTCTCCAACAAGGGAAAGCGCAGTCTGGTGCGGGAAGGCTATATGTACCGTCTGGACCACTCTGGGAGGGACAAGCTGTCCTGGAGATGCAGCACTCGAGGGTGCCCTGCTCATCTGAAAACCGACCCCCAGGCTGAGACTATCTTGCAGGACAACGAGAGACCACATACTCACGCTGTCGATGCTCTGAGGTTTGAGAAACAGCTGCTCCGTGTGGCCTGCAAACGTAAGGCTGTTGAAGACTGCAGTACTCGACCCCAGGACATCATTTCAAATGAGATAACTCGACTCAGTGACTTGGGTTTAAGTCCCCAAGACACAAAATTTCTCCAGCTTGCTGTTTATCGTGAACGGAAAAAAGTCTTCCCAAAAATGCCACGTGCAGTCAGAAATGCAAAGACTGCCCAGCAAGGAAAAAAGTTAAGTGGTCATCTAGATGGCATTACCAGCATTCCACAGCCTCACATTCCAAACTTATCAACAGACTTTTATACCCAGACACCAGCTGCTGCTTGTCAACCACATTTTGATATGTTGACAGAGGATGGGGGGTATCAACACCCACCACCACCTCATCATCATCATCACCAGCATCCTCATCCTCATGATCACGGTGAGGGTTCCTTGCAGCATCATCCAGATCTGCAACATTGTGAGCCAGCACCTCTGATGCACCAACATCCTCCCATTCATCAGCAGCTGCAACCATTGGAGAGTACTTTACCACAAACTATCTTCCTCAGTAGCCACTCATTTCCTGATTCAGTTGCTGGGGCATCAACTTCCGAAGGAGAGGCCACAAACACGGAGCAGTTCAATAGCTGCACTGTACAGAAAAGAATGTGAGCATTTGTTTGTTTGTTTCTGTAGTCATCCCATAAAGTGCCATCTTCACTTTGAAGGTCTTCTGTAATCTTCAACACTTTCTGTCCATTAGCTTGATCATTCATTTATATAAGCTGCTTCCAGTCCATGTCATGATGTCATCCACCTTGTCTTCCTATTACTTTCCCCTTCATGATGTTGTTAGTGGGTCTTCCCCGTTCCCGGAACCCAGACTCAAGGACTTTAGTGAAACAACCTCTGATCTTGTCTTTGTTTTTTTTGTCCAGGTGTTACTCCGATATCCGACTGCATGGTGACCTGCTGAATGACAGAGTGCGAACTTTGACCTACAGGTAAACCTTTTAGAAAAAACTAATTTCTTCTTCTTCTTTTTTTGCATTCATTTAAACTCCGGCAGAATGTTATGGTTATTTTGTCCACATCTGGACTTTGGTCTTGTTTAGAACACATGTTTTACATGCACATCTGTTTTACAGGTCTGGTTTATTTGTACACAGACTGTTGGTTCTTCACCTCTCAGGCAGATGCACACTGACTTTAAAGGAAATACCCTAATTAATCAGCTTTTATGTCATGCCTGTAAAGGGGCAGGATGTCTGTTGTGTTCTTATTTCCTCTATGTTTGGGTACTGGTTCCTGTTTTAGTTGGCTATCCGCTAGCTGTTGCACTGTTCATCTGTAAGGGGCAGGATGTCTGTTGTGTTCTTATTTCCTATATGTTTGGGTCCTGGAACCCACAAGGGATGCAGAGTTGTTAGAAGGCAAGGACAGGTGCTATTACAGGCTAATTACAACTTCTTCCTTCATACGCATGATGCTATGGTGTATGTTATGGTATATGTTGTAGTATATGTTGTAGTATATGTTATGGTGTATGTTATGGTATATGTTGTAGTATATGTTGTGGTATATGTTATGGTATATGTTGTGGTATATGTTGTGGTATATGTTGTGGTATATGTTGTGGTATATGTTGTGGTATATGTTGTGGTATATGTTATAGTATATGTTGTGGTATATGTTATGGTATACGTTGTGGTATACATTGTGGTATATGTTATGGAATATGTTGTGGTATATGTTGTGGTATATGTTGTGGTATATGTTGTGGTATATGTTATAATACAGTTCTGCCAAGAAGAACTTGCAAGAGAGCGATTCCTTCCAGCCGCAGCACTCAGATCCAAGCGAGACAAGAACAAAAGGATGATGTATCAAGCATGCGCAGCCCTTAATATGTTAAACGCTGCTCGAAAGGGGAATTAAGCCAACTCCAACAAAGCAATTCCACGCACTGAACGGAAAACAGCCCGACCGCTAAAACCGTGAAGCCAATAGCCAACCAGAACTGACCAAAGCCGCCATGACACCGACCAAGCCCAGCTCACCGGACCGGAAAACTCACCCGCGCAAAACCAACCAGGCATTACCAAAACCTGACAACAGAATCCAGAACCCGCCCATCCGTTCCAGGCCACCCGGCACATGTGGCTGTCCTTTTCAGGACAGCCATGTCCACTCCCTAAACCGGCAAGCCGCAGGCCAAGCCCACGCCGCTGACATAACGCAACAACTGAAAGAACTTAGGCGAAAATGATCGCCGCAAGGAATAAATACAAATCACACCACCGTTGAACCGACTTCGATATAGCAAGCCGTCAGGTAGCTGAAAGAGGTCAAAGTTTGGAATTTTTGTTTCTTTTGAATTGAATTGAATGTTAAAGTATATGTTGGGGTATATGTTGTGGTATATGTTATGGTATATGTTGTGGTATATGTTATGGTATATGTTGTGGTATATGTCATGGTATAATTTGTGGTATATGTTGTGGTATATGTTGTGGTATATGTTGTGGTACATGTTGTGGTACATGTTGTGGTATATGTATGTTGTGGTATATGTCGTGGTATATGTCGTGGTATATGTCATGGTATATGTTATGGTAAATGTTTGTGGTATATGTTGTGATTTATGTTGTGGGATATGTTGTGGTATATGTTATATATGTTGTAGTATATGTTGTGGTATATGTTATAGTATTTGTTGTGGTATATGTCATGGTATAATTTGTGGTATATGTTGTGGTATATGTTGTGGTATATGTTATGGTTCATGTTGTGGTATATGTTGTGTTATATGTTATGGTATATTTATTTTGTTCCTTTTTAATGTTCTGCTTAAATGTGTTGGTTGTCAGATACGTGTTTGATGATTTCATAGTCTATTTATCAGTTTTCGTTTTGCTTGTTGAAAAACATATTGGTTAAAAAATGTGCTAATTTCATCTGTCAAGTTTTCTTGTCAATTCAAAGCTGATTTATATTTAGAACATGGTGTAATTATGTGACTAATTAACCACATTTAAATTCATAAGCAGTCTGAAAAATTATCAGAAATTTACATTTTAATAATTTCTTTGCTGTTGCTTAACCATAGGTTGTAAAGCTGTTTAATCTTTGTATTGCATTGCCATCCTTCTTTTGACCTCTCTTGCTGTTTATTATGGGGTCCTAGATATTCACAGTTTGTGCTAATTTGTTCATCCTTTTAAAAAAAAAAATTATCTAAGATATTAACCACAAATTGTGAAGAACACTTTAAACAGACAATAATTAGAAATTGGGGAGACAAGTATAGATAGACCTCAACCCAAAAATAGGTGATCAGTGTCTTCTGTGTGAGTTTATCAACTGTCCTTGACATATGTGGTTGATCTATGTGACCTTCCTGTTTTAGACGAGCCTTACAAGAGAACAGAGAGAGATTAAAGGGGTCAACAGTGCTCGAGGTCGCAGCCGGTCTAGGCATACTCAGCCACTTTGCTGCCCAGGCTGGTGCTTCAGCAGGTGTGTGCTCAATCCGACTATTTTTATACTAACTGATTCTTTCAGTCCCAAACAGTATGTGTCATGTGTGGTTTGGAATTCTATATTTGGTAAGAGATGTTAAAGAAATCTGGCTTCCCTTCCCTGTCTACATTTCTTCAGTTTCTTCACTTTGTGTGACATGCTTACCCACTCAGGCAGAATTGTAGCCCTTAAAACATCTAGTATTTATTATTTATTGGACAAAGGATGTTGAAGAGCAGGGCTGTTCAACTATTCGTAGGCCGTATCTGGCCCCCTGAGAGCCTAGAAATGGTCTTTGGATTTGTGCCAGCTGAATTGTATTAATGATCTTTCTACACCGGGGGTCAGGCCTCTGGCCTGTGGCATTCCCCATTTTCAATGTTTTTGGCTCCTGAGTAAACTTAGTTGAATAGCCCTGACGCAGAGTCTTGACTTCCGACTCGACACCGGAATACCATCCCTGCAAGGGTTGTATTGCAGAGCTCTCCCTCCTCTCTCTTAGCTTAGAAATTGCAGGGGTGTCTGAGGTCAGTACTACAACTTCACTTCTGCAGAGAGATGAATAAACTGTAACAGGCTCAGTGAAGGACTCACATCACAACACTAAATTCATTACTATAAGGGCTCTGTCCTCATCTTCAGCAGCTAGTGCAGTTCCAATACTAGTGGTACCAATTGCAGTTTTAAATATGTCAGTGTTGCCCTTTCTCGTGGTGTAGAATGTTGGCCGCATTCTCTGGCTGCTCCCAGGTGCACTATTCTTTTCAGAGTCGACTGTAATGATGTATTCGTACTTCCACACTGTATAAACTGTGATTAGATCATGATTAATCTCATACAGACTGGCCAAAAACTTCGCTTGGATTTGATGTTTCCTTCACAGATTTGAAGTGTTTCATCATCAAATCACTGCAACCTAGTGTCCAGAGGGCTAACAAAGAGTAAAGCTTACAACATGTCTGTTCTTTTGTAAGGATGCCTGTGCTGGACAATGAAATGATGGGGAATCTAGAGCCACTGAATTGTGGTTTATGTAAAGAGGAAATGAGCAAGCTGATGGGCTTGCAGGTTAGGCTTCTGTGAAGAGCAGATGAGCCATGGACAAGGCTGATATACTGAGTACTTTTAGAGAAGGAAGAAATTTTTTAGATCCAGGGGACTGTGATTATGCAGCCATCACCAGACTGCAAGAACAGCAAGTTAAAAGGGGTGTGGCCAGACAAGAGCATTCTGCAGAAAGCCAAAGAAGAATCAGATACCAACAACCTGGAAGGCTAACTTGGTAAACACATGCCCGCAGAAGTTGGATGTGTTGGCCGAAAGGTGCACATATCGCAGCCATGCTGTAAACAGACACAACGCAATTACATCTTTGGATGAATGCAGAAGAAGAAGAAGAAGATACCAACATAGAACACCACGAAGAAAAGAAGAAAAAGATAGAATTGATATTGTCAGCCACTGCACACTGCAGGATTTACTAAGGAGGGGATTCGAGCACTTATGGACTAAATTGTTTGATATGCAATAATGATAATCTGTTGACTAACTAAGTGATGTGAAGAATGTTCTTCTTTTAATTTTACTTGCCAGCAGTTTCCAGATGAGAAGGTCACAGGTTGGGGTTAAAGGTTGTGCAGTATATCTTCTTCTTCTTGGTGCTCACCGGCTGTAAACTGCGACAGAGAGAAAGTTCTGGTCGTTCATCCACCTCTGGACTATAGACTTGTTTCCAAAACCTGAGTGTTGCAAGCGCATTCATTTCACAGATCTGACCTATTTGAATGCAGACTGTTGGTTATTTGCCTCTCAGGTAGATGTGCTGCGACTTCAAAGGAAACCGCCCAGTTAGTTGACTCTTACATCATGCTCCTAGAGAGGCAGTGGGTTTGTTTCTGTTTTCTCCACAATGGGAGCCGAGGAACCCACAGTGGTAGCTGCAGTCTAGTTTGTCCATTTTTACATACAGCTTGCTTTCTACCCAGATTCTAACTGGAAACATCTGGTGTCTGCCTACTGTGTGAAGATGCATATTAGCAGTACAAATTCACTTGAATAGGGTTGAAGAATGTAGGTGTGGTGCGCAGAGGAGAAAACACATGCTGTGGTTGTAAGATCTGAAGTTGTTACACAGTCATCAACACAACCTTAACTCTTTTCAGTCCTAGGGGATTCTCGCAGCATGTACCCAAAGGAATGAATGACCACTGGAAAAATGTTATGAATGCATAACATTCATGAGGGCAAAATTCACAGCAGAAGTAGCCAGAATGGAAGCCAGATTTCTTCAGTGTGCTGTGATATGTAATAAAATGGGGTTGAAAACATTATGCTATAGCTTGAATTCATGTGGAAAGGTCTGTTAAACATCACACATTATGCTATAGCTTGAATGGGGGTTAGGGTCAAGGCAAATACAATTTATGGGATGTATACACAGATGAGTAGCCGCCATGATGTAGCGGCTAGATGCTTGTCTGTAGATCCAAAGGTCGAGGGTTTAAGTCCTAATTAAACCAGACCTTTTTTCTTTCTTTTTTAAAAATGACCGTGGCTTCCTGATCAACCTAGCCTTGAGTGGGTACAAGGTACGTTACCTTGGAAGTAAAGGTGGCCGGCGTGATGTTGACCACATCACACACTGAGTGCTGATTAATCTACAGAAGGTAGGTCCAGCCCTAGCCCTACATGCCCAATAGACCTAAAAGCACAGAAAAGTTTCCTTTCCTCTTAGTGGTTATTTTATATTTTACACTTAAGCAATCAGGTAAAGAAGAGGTAGAAATAACAGTTAAGGACGTAACAGTGGTGAACAAATCACTGCGACTATTTTGGAATTTGCGGAAACTGAATGTATTGGGCTAAAAGGCACCAATATCACAGCACAACACAACAATATTCAACCTAGAAGGGAAAACATAAGCAGAATTTTAATCGGGTTGTGACAGGTACTTTTAGCATGAATGCTCTTAGTTGGCTACTAAAGAAAGAAACTGAGCACTTTTGAGAATGTCCTGAGTGCAGTGATTTCACTGCTGGATTCTTTCCTTTGTTAAGTGATTCCTTTATTCATTGACTGTATTTTATGCTGTTAGAATTAAAACCATTTTTACTTGTCTGTCTGACCAGTCTATGCCATTGAACCAAGTGGTCTGGCATCATTAGCTCAAAGAGTTACCAAGGAGAATGGTCTGGATTCGATCATCACAGTTCTACACAGCCAGCCTGAGGTATCATATGTCCTTTTACGAGTTCATGCTCATCTACTGTATTTTGTAGTACTTCTGTTTTTATGATTTCATTTTTTTTAAATAATGTGTCTTTAACGCCATCATCTGCGATACTTCTGAAAAGTGATTTTGTAGATTCTTGGCCATTTTGGGGTATTGTATATTCATGTGGTGTCCTGATGAAGGCTGTCTAGCCGAAACATCTATGTGTTTTGTGTGCCTGTGATAATATGAAGCTAACTAGCTGTGCCTTTCGTCACTCTGTACAACAGATAAGTTGACCCTTGCGACTGAAGGGAGACTGATAGTGGTACGGGATGCTGGGCAAGAACCAGGTGCACATTGTTTGAGACTGATTATCTCTTTCTGTCACAACCAACGCACCAAGTGTCATCAGCTATTGTCCATGTTTACCAAGAAACCAACAATGTGATCTGATGTTTATCCTCCACATGCTGCAGAAGACCTGGCTAATTATTTTAATGCCCCAGCTAGTACGGGAATCGCTGCGGCCTTGGTGGCTAGATGCCCGCCTGTGGATCGGAAGGTCGTGGGTTCACATCCTGACAGAGCGTGACATTTTTTTTTCAAAAATGACCCTGACTCCCAGGTCGACCTTGCCTTGAGTGGGTAGCAGGTGCAGTCCTGGGAAGTAAAGGCGGCTGGCATGATGCTGACCGCATCATCCACCAAGTACCAACTGGTCTATAAATATAAAGGTCTAGCCCTATATGCCCAATACGCATAAAGGTGTAGGAAAGTGACCTTTACTTTACTTACCCAGCTAGTACAGTTGAACTCCAATATTTGTTCACGCTAATATTCATTCCCTGCGATTTTGACAGCAGATATAATTGTTTTCTATGATCTTGTTGATTTGTCTGCTGTGTTTGCCATCTTGCAGACTGCTGAGGTTCCAGTCAAGGTGGATGCAATCATTTGTGCCTGGATGGTATGTGTTGGACTTGTTATATGCCTTACAGTAGCTTCTCATGGTGGATTTCTTCTTCTTCTTCTTCTTCTCCGTTTTTCAGCTTAGGGTGGGGGGAGGGGGTTAGATATAATTAGTTAGTTAGTTAATCTAAAGATTATCCTACAAGTCCATAAGTGCGCTGATCCCATCTTCAGGATATCCCCCAGCATGTAGCGAATGATAACATGACCATGTCTGTTCTGGTTTACTATTCTTCTTTAGCTACCTGTGTAATGTTCATGTTTGGCGACACCTCTTTTGACCTGGGGTTCTTGTAATCTTTTGAGTATTGCTGATTCAAGGTGGTCTTACGAATCATCTTCTCGTTCTGCCTCCTTTAGAGCATTGAGAATGTAGACCAGGTCCATTGCCTTTACCTACTGTGGCCCTACCAGCTAGCCAATCTGCTCATTCATTCCCTCTTACACCAGAGAGTCCGGTACAAAAATAAATCTAATTCCTTTCAGATGAGATTTCCTCAGCGACTCCAACCATTTTCTTTTGAATTCATCCTGTCTCTATATTTTTTAGCATGGCAAAACTGCTGTGTCTCTAGCTACATCATTGCTTTGGTTACCACCATCACCTCCATAGTCAAACTACTTGTAGTCGAAGCAAAAACCCCGCTGTTTTGTTTTACAGTTTCTTCTTGAACCAGAACCGTGAAAATCCCAGGAACTGTGTACGTGTCGAACAACGGATCTGTCAGTGTCAATAACTGCACCTCCGTCAGCAGAATTTTCAAGAATTAAGGCTTGAACTTCTGCCTCAACCACCAACGGGCCTTGTTGTCTGCAATCTCTACTCAGTTTTATGAAGACTGAAAAGGATATACCCCACTCTGCTGGCACTCGTATCCATCCCTCACCAGGTTCTATGTTCCTAATTGAACAAACCTGTTTAATAATGTCCTCAGCCTGACCCACCCAGGATTTTCCTCTTTTCAACCTGCTACCCTTTCTTCCTGAGAACCTCACTATGCAATGTATGGTGTGTGTGAGCACTGATATGTGCATGCCCTGCAGAACACTGTTCTCACTTCCATGGTAGGAAGATCAAGTAGGTAAGGCATCAGTCTGCATGTTGTATTTTTGTGTGCATCCAAGTATGGTGTGCATGGCCTCATTCTGATCTGATATGGTCTGTCTGTCTGTGTACGGCTAAGAGTCAGAATGGCCAGAGAAAGGATCATACCCTGGTATAAGAAAAATAGGTGACGTTGCTTGCAGTTTGTCGCAGCCATAATCCTCGGCGCCATCAAACCTCCCAATTCCTTCATTACCACGTGGTTGACAAGCTCATAAAAAGAAAGTCTATGGTCAAAACACACTCCTAAATACTTCATTAAATGAGTTCTCTCCATAATCTCCGAACACAGACTCACAGTTGGTGTGTTTAAAATATGGTTTTTTTTTAAAGAAAACCCTGTCACCGTAGACTTTGACATATTTATGATATATCTATAATAATAAAAATGTGAATTTTCCGAGTTTGTTTACTATAGACTCGGAAACTACTGAACCGATTGCTTTCAAATTTTCACACAACGTTGCCTTTGACTCAAAAGTGATTTTTTTGTCAGAAAATCGCACAAACCATGAATAACGTAGCTCCAGCAACAGTCAAATCATTATTTGTTTCGTTGCCGGCCCGGATTTGTTTTTAGTTGATTGGCCATTTTTTAACTTTGCATTAATATATAATTTCATTTCCATAATTTGCTTGAGTGTTTGGTAGCGTACTTGTAACTATTCTGCCTGTCATGCGGATGACCCGCGTTTGATTCCCCACTAGGTGATATCATTTTTTTTTAGCCCTTAACTTGGCGGCTGGCACGTTGTGTTGTGGTTTATGGCTAGGCTGTGATATCTACGCCTTTTTTTCGGTTTTGGGGTTTACAGCTCAGCTGCCATATCTGACTTAAACTCTTCAGTCTTCGGTAGTATAGTTGTAAGTATTCCATCCTTCACACGGGTGACCGGTGTTAGATTCCCCGCTGGGTGATAATTGTTCTTTTTCCCTTAAAAGGGTGGTTGCCACGTTGTGTAGAGGTTTACAACTAGGCTGCGATATCTGCGCCTTTCGCCCAAAGACATCCGATTTCAGTTAAGTTCCAATTAGCCTCCCCGCGTCGCTTCTCGATCAAAAACTATTCGCCGATGACAGAAACTGTTAACTAAGACGGCTTACAGTCCAGTTTAGTTTGGGTGGACACGGATGTTAAGGTCAGTTAAAAATCGTTTCTTAGGAGAGGGAGAGATGACGGGTGCGGGGTATTTTTCTCCGCTTTTCGTGAGTATAGTGTACTTTTTACTGTGGGTTCCATCACTGGTTATGTGATTAGGTTTTTTTTTTCTATGTCAGGGGCAAAATTAAACTAAATAGCCCGTGGCGACAGCATGCGGCACTAACTCCTCTTTTCTACACAGACCTACACAGACTGTAGTGACAGTTTTTGTTGTTGTTGTTGTGGTGGTGGTAGTGGTTGCAGTAGTACTGGTACTGGATGGGTGATGTGGTAGCTGTTACACTAGCCACATTTACTTCTCAGTACAAATTAATGCTACCTATTTAAGTCTGGGTGGACACGGATGCCAAGCTCAATTTAGTTACAATATTTCGTCACATGGTGACTTTCCCATCCTTTAGAGAGGATGATATGATTGCTGGGGGGGGGGGGGGGGAAGGGAAATCATACCAGACACTGTTAACTGAGACAGCTTAAAATATTATTTTAAAGTTCTCATTCCTTAACTATTTCTGTTTTAATAATTTCGCCAGGTGATGATTTTTCAACCATCCTTTGGAGAGGAGGATATGATTAATGTGTGTGTGTGTGTGTGTGTGGGGGGGGGGGGGGGGGGGTTAATACCAGACACTGTTAACTGAGAGAGCTTAAAACATTATTTCAAAGTTCTCATTTCTTAACTATTTCTATTTTAATAATTTCGCCATGAATGATTTTTCAAACCTTCAGAGAGGGAGATATGACTTCGCCAGGTGATGATTTTTCAATCCTTCGGAGAGGGAGATATGATGGGGGGTGGGGGGGGGGGGGGCAGGGGTTATGCCAGACACAGTTAGCTGAGAGAGCTTAAAATATTATTTTAAAGTTCTCATTTCATATCTATTTCTATTTTAATGATTTTTCAATCCTTCGGAAAGGGAGATATGACTGGGTTCAGGGGAGAGAAGGTGGGGGGGGGGGGGGGGATATGACAGACACTGTTAGCTGAGAGCTATTTTCTTTCCCACAGCAGTGCGTGGCCGGGTACAGCTAGTTATATATATGGATTTTAATTAGGCTGTGCCAGTCAACGACTAAGCTGCAGTATTGATCCCTTTTGCAGGGTCGTCTGAATTCTTTGTGCATTTGTTGACTGGGTTATTCTTCCTAGGTTTTGGTGGATGTGAGAAGCAAAGTTAAGGCTCCCTTTGTGGCTTCCAGTGGCCCCAATTCGAAAGAGGAGAGAGAGGAGGGTGGAGAATAGACCCACTGCCCTCTAACAAGCATATCTTAAAAGGTTACAAATGTGTTGAGGGGAAAGACACACGCATTGCAGCCTAGCTGTAAACCACAACACAACATGCCAGCTGCCATTTTAAGGGCAAACGCAGAAGAAGATTTTCGTACCTTGAGGCATACTGGAAATATGGGACTAACCATATGCTTTCTAGAACAATCACTGAAACATTTTCTGTTTTCTTCCCCCTATGAGTTCCAGGGCCCATTGAGGAAGGAGGGGGGGGGGGGAGGGGAATAGACCTCCACTGCCCCCCCTCCCAGCAAGCATGTCTTACAATATGATAAATAAGGAATATTTCCTTCGAAGTCAGAGTGCATCACCTGAGAGATGAGGAACCAATAGTCTGCTCACACATAAGCCAGATCTGTAAAATGGTTGTGCATGCAGAACTCAAGTTCTGAAACAAGACCAAACTCAAGAAGTGGATGAACATACAGGTAACATTTTCACACTGTATAGCTTTACCTTGGATAGTCTACTTATTTTGTGTGCTTAAACTTTCATTGTGTTCTGAAAAATAGCTGGTTGTAACTTACTGTTGAACATCTAATTTCCTGGTGTGCATTCTTCTCTCTGATAGGGCTACAACTTATTGTGTGAATCCAGTCTTCCATCTCTGCTGACTGCTAGAGACCGCTTCCTGAAACAGGTAATGTTCCATGGCAGAGTAAAATGTGCCTTTTGTGGCCAGGTAGTCAGCCTGCATCATGCCTACTGACACTCACACACGCATTAGTATGTTTTATAAATGATTAATTTATGAGTTATGTTCCTCCCTGGAACTCTATACTCAGATAGCCTTGTCAACATATACATCAGTCCAGTGGCTAATAGTGCCAGTCCTGTCTCGTTTTTATAGTGCTAGTACTGTCTGGTTTTTATAGTGCCAGTCCTGTCTGGTTCTAACAGTACCAGTTCTGTCTGGTTCTAACAGTGCCAATCCTGTCTCATTCTAACAGTGCCAATCCTGTCTCATTCTAACAGTGCCAGTCCTGTCTCATTCTAACAGTGCCAGTCCTGTCTCATTCTAACAGTGCCAGTCCTGTCTCATTCTAACAGTGCCAGTCCTGTCTCATTCTAACAGTGCCAGTCCTGTCTCATTCTAACAGTGCCAGTCCTGTCTCATTCTAACAGTGCCAGTCCTGTCTCATTCTAACAGTGCCAGTCCTGTCTCATTCTAACAGTGCCAGTCCTGTCTCATTCTAACAGTGCCAGTCCTGTCTCATTCTAACAGTGCCAGTCTTATCTGGTTCTAACAATACCAGTCCTCTTTGGTTGACAGCATCAGGGTTAATCCAGGTAAATGTTCAAGATTACAGCATTCAGGACAAACCCATGTCAGCTCCCTCTCTCTTCTCAACAGCCAGTGATACACACACTGATAATATCCATTGTCTTCCTGTAAAATGGTGATGATTAGGCATGGCAGAATGTTAGGCTTCAAAGTTATTTTTAAATAATGTTTAGCTGTACTGTTTCAGACATATCACTGGGTCTGGCTTTAGGCCAAAATGGAGGAAAGGCTTGGCAGAATGTTAAGCTTGAAAGTTATTTTTGCTTCTAACAGCGCTTTGCTAATGCAGTTTCCACATATGGTTGGTAAATGGCCACTGAGTTTAGTGCTTGGTGCAGCCCTGTGAGCTGCATTTTTCATGTGGAATGCTTTCATTTGTGCAGCGAGTGTGTTGTGGTATTCAGTATGGGCAGTAGCCGGTTTACGTGTGAGCTGGGGAAATGCCTTGTGTAATAATTCTACGTGGGTATAGCCAGCTTATCATGCCCGACTACTTCCATCGACGACAAACTACATTTCTGGCAACTTTCGGCTTTGGTGCCACTAGCAGGTGTCATATACATTTACTAAAATAAAGTAAAGGACCCTTTTCCACATCTTTAGGCATATAGGGCATATAGGGCTAGACCTATATTTTTATAGACCAATCGACACAAGGTAGGTGATGTGGTCAGCATCACGCTGGCCGCCTTAACTTCCCAAGACTGCACTCAGTATTAACTCAAGGCTGGGTTGACCTGGGAGTCAAGGTCATTTTTGAGAAAAAAAAAGTCAGGTTCCGCAGGCACCACCATGGCATCATTCTCTCTAGGTACAGATTTTCCGTTACTTCCATTTTACTTCTCACCTCGCCCCAACCTCATTCCCTGGGCCAGAGATTGACTTCTCCTATGTCTGGTAACACCAAAGCGAACATATACCAAGGTACCACTGCTAATGTTGTACGTTAATTTGTTATGTTTTGACACATACTATGCTTCCTTATCAAACTTGGGTTTGTATTGTTACTATTAAAAGAATCCTTTTTGTAGCTTGGATTCCTTTTGCTTTCCCTGTTTTACTGTTCCCTGGGTTAAACATGAGTTTATTTTGTTATTGTTGGTTTTGTCATATTTGTCAAATGTTGAATTTACCAGAAATCTTGTTTGTTAATATATTTCAGGATGGAGTGATGTACCCTTGTGCAGCTGACCTTTACCTGGCACCTTTCACTGACAATCATTTTCAGGAGAAGTAATTTTTCCTTCGTTTCTCCTCTTGTTATTTTTATTTTTTAAAGAAGTTTAAAAAATATTACAAGACTTCCCATGTGGGTTCCGGGGCCCTGTTGTGGGGAAAACTAGAATAGACTCACTGCCTGCTGCATGTCATATGAGTTGACTAACTGGTGTCTTCCTGTGAAGTTAGAGTGCATTTGCCTGATTGGCAAAGACCCAACAGTTTGCATGCATATAAGGCAGATCTGTAAAACAGCTGTGCACGCAGCACTCAGGTTCTGGAACAACACTAGAGTCTTGAGTTAAACCAAGGACCAGAACTTTCCCCCGGAGTTTACAAAAAAGAAGAAGAAATAACAAGACAACTTATGACCGACCCCCCCTTCCCCCCAAAAAAATAAAGATGTTCAATCTTCGTTACATAAATAACTGAATAATCCTTCTTCAGTCCTTCTGCACTCAATCTTTAACTCTGTGGTAAAGTATGTTTTCTTATTTTCAGTCATGGGTAAATTTTTAAAGAGGACTCTGAAATGTTTTGTCGAACCTCTTCTGCTATGTATCTTTATAACATTGAATGCAAAAGGACATTCGTTTAATTAAAACAGAAATGTGAGGGGAGAAGAATGTGTTTTAGATTTTCAATTCACCTTGTACGTTATATACGTTATATATGCTTAAGCAAGTTACATCACTCTATTCAGATGGGACACTTGGAAACAGATGAAGCAGATATACGGAGTGTCCATGGAGAGTATGGTTGCTGCAGCTGAAGGTTCTTTGACAGGTAAAGCTTGAAAGATTCTCAGTTGTTTAAAGGACCCTTTTCCCTGCCTTTAGCTAAATCAGGCATATAGGGCTAGACCTCTATTTTATACACCAGTCAGCACTCAGTGGCTGGTGTGGTCAACATCACACCAGCCATGAAGTTGTTTACCTGTTGTGGAATAAATAAATAAATAATGACGGCACGTACAATACGTTGTACAGTTTATGTCTTTGCATATATAGCTGATGAAGCAAATCATTGTCCACCATTCTATTTTAGTCCACAGACAGCCATGAAGTTGTTTACCTGTTGTGAAATAAATAAATAATGACGGCACGTACAATACGTTGTACAGTTTATGGCTTTGCATATGTGGCTGAAAAAGCAAATCATTGTCCACCATTCTATTTTAGTCCACACTGAAATACCAGAGCACTAGTTTATAGATGTTGATTTTGATCTTTGTCTACCATTTTATGTTTAATCAACTCTTAAAGATTAGATCAAGAGTTTATTAATGTTCAATCTAATTATTGTTCACGTTTCTGTGTTTAGTCCAGACTGAAAGACTACAGCTAGAGGTTGAATCAGTGTTGGCCAATGCCTGCCAGGTGTGTCACTTTGACATGAAAAGCATAACATTGCAGGATGCAGAAATGATTAAGGTAAGGTGTTGTTGTGATGTTCTGCATTTCACTGTATGGGTTCCAGGGCCCTATGTTGGGGAGGGGTGTTAAGAATGTCATTAAAGGTAACTAATTATAAGGGTTTCTTCAAAGTTGGAATTCATCAGTAAACTTCAGCTGTGTTGGAATTCATCAGTAAACTTCAGTTGTGTTGGAATTCATCAGTAAACTTCAGTGGGAAGTTATGTTTTTTTTTAAATCCACCTATGGAATTCAGTCTTGGTCTAGAGTTTTGCATGCACATCCATTTTACAGATCTAGCTTATTTGGTTGCAGACTGTTGGTTCCTTACCTCTCAGACAAATACACTTTGAAGGAAACACCCCAAACTAGGAGACTTTTAAAAGCTGACCTATCATACATTGTATCTATCTGTCAGTACATCCGGGAATCGAATCTGTTACCTCCAAATAGTGCATGTGCTTCACTGTAGAAAGAAGTGTATTAAAAACATGACCTAGGCACCTTTCTAGTGTCTTTTTCATTGTCCATGTTTGGCACTGATAGCATAAACTAGGTATGAAGCTTTACCCTCGGAAGATTACTTTTAGAGTCATTAATCATTGTAACAGCGTATATTTTGTTACAGGCAGATTTCAACTTCAGATGTTACAGCCATAACATTATGCATGGATTTGCCACGTGGTTCACTGTATCTTTCCCTGGCAGTGTTGTTCTTGATACCTCCCCGTACGCTCTGTGAGTGCCATCTATGCCTTCTGCATTTGTAAGCTAAGTTTAAATTGTACAAAAGAAGGACTGGTGAGTTAGCCAAGCTGTTTGAAGAGAATTATGGGCCCCTGGGTAAACCAGTGTGCTGGGGCCCCTGGGGGAATCAGTTTGCTATGACCCTGGGTAAACCAGTGTGCTGGGGGCCTTGGGTAAATCAGTGTGCTGGGGGTCTTTGGTAAATCAGTGTGCCGGGGGTCTTTGGGGAATCAGTGTGCTGGGGGCACCTGGGTAAATCAGTGTGCTAGGGGCCTTGGGTAAATCAGTGTGCTGGGGGTCTTTGGTAAATCAGTGTGCTGGGGGCACCTGGGTAAATCAGTGTGCTAGGGGCCTTGGGTAAATCAGTGTGCTGGGGGTCTTTGGTAAATCAGTGTGCTGGGGCACCTGGGTAAATCAGCTTGCTGGGGGCCTTTGGTAAATCAGTTCACTGGTTTTTTGGGTAAATCTATGTGCTGGGGGCACCTGGGTGAATCAGTTTGCTGGGGGCCTTTTGTAAATCAGTTTGCTGGGGGCCTTTGGTTAATCAGTTTGCTGGGGGCTTTTGGTAAATCAGTTTGCTGGGGGCCTTTGGTTAATCAGTTTGCTGGGGGGCCTTTGGTAAATCAATGTACTAAGGGCCCCTGTGTGGTGTCACTTCCTTGTGTGATGTTCACTGACTTGTGTGGTGTCATTTGTGTGGTGAATTTGTGCTTAATGTGCAAGACTCGTCTAGTCTGGTAACCTGTCTGATTATCTTGGTCTCTGACAGTTATATTGTGAATATGTAACACAAGTTTAAACTCACAGTGCAGCACCTTCTGCAATAAATTTAGCTCTCAGTACAGTATCTTCTGTGAGTTTACAATTAGTTCTCGCTACAATACTTCTCACATTAACTTTAGCTGCCTCTAGAGTGTACTGTCCGTCAGAATACCTTTAGCTCTCACTACAGTACCATTTATCAGACTACCTTCAGCTCTCACTACAGTACCATTTATCAGACTACCTTCAGCTCTCATTTCAATACCATTTATCAGACTACCTTCAGCTCTCACTACATTACCATTTATCAGACTACCTTCAGCTCTTGCTTCACTACTTTCTCTCAGATTAAATTTAACTCCTACCACAGTACTTTTTGTCAGAGGACCCCTGGCTGTTACCACCGTACTTCTTGTTTGAGTACCCTGGCTGTTGTCACAGTACTTGTTGTCAGATTACCCCTGGCTGTTGTCACGGTACTTGTTGTTAGAGTACCCCTAGCTGTTGTAACAGTACATGTTGTCAAATGACCCCTGGCTGTTGTAACAGTACATGTTGTCAAATGAACCCTGGCTGTTGTCACAGTACTTGTCAAATGACCCCTAGCTGTTGTCACAGTACTTGTTGTCAAACGACCCCTGGCTGTTGTCACAGTACTTGTCGAATTACCCCTAGCTGTTGTCACAGTACTTGTCAAATGACCTCTGGCTGTTGTCACAGTACTTGTTGTCAAATGACCCCTTGCTGTTGTCGCTGTACTTTGTCCTACTACCATTCTTTGCCTTTACCCTTCCCACAGGAAGACTCACTGGGGTCAGACAGGGATGTACCTGAAAACTCCCATCACTGTGAAGCAGGGTTCAGAAATAAGAGGAGTCTTCAAGATGTATCCATCAGGCGAGGACCGCAAGTGTTGGAACATTGAGATAGAGTTCCAGCTCAATCGGGACAAAAAGTACACTCAGCATTGGCAGTGCTCTTAGCAGAAAACCAGAAACAGCAGACATTTAGTTTCTTTCAGTTTTATAGTTAAAGATTCTTCTTTGTCATGACCAAACCTGATCGTCATTTAATATATTTTGATGTTTTTTGTTGTTTTAGTATCCAGAAGCCATGAGTTGTTAACCCTTAGGCTCGGTATTATGGATATCGCAACCTTTCGGCCTTGATTTCATTGTAAATACCGTTAATCTGGAAGAAAATGTGGCTTTTCTGCCCACCCCTGGGAGTGAACCTGGACCACAATGAGTTCGTCACCAGGTCACCGCGCAATCCGGTTTAGCCAACTACTCTAGAGAGCCGAGTTAATATTTTGATAAAATTAGTGTTGCTTAACTAAGTTTTAAGTTAGTTGTGAGTACACAAGGGGCAGGAATAGGTCGCTTGGAATACACACAACAGCGGTTTGCATCAGGTCATTATCACATTAGGAAGATTTATGGTTTCTACAACATCGTGCCACAAGGGTAGTAAAGTGCTTGTTCTACTTCTAACTCAAGCCTGAATCCGAAGAATCTCAGGGCAGTGCACGCACTCATAACTCTGACACACTAGGAAGAGAATGTAGAACGTGGTTTAACGGTATGGGAGAATTAGAGGTGCAACAACTGATAGATGAAAACACTGGGCTAGATGCTGCAGCAGTGTACACCAAAGGTTCTATTCATCGTGGTGACAGATCTGGCTGGGGATTTTCAGCTAGAATGCAGTGAAAGATTGTGGCTGAACAAAATATTTGTTTTGTTTTTTGTTTTGTTATCGACAACTTTTAAGCATGAGGAGGTGGAGACAGTAACTGGAGCTCTGAGGTGGATAGCAGAAAATATAGTAACCAGAGGAATTATAGCGATTGATTCTCAGTTGAGACTGCAGAAGATTGAAATGGACAATGAGGCATGAGTTGATATCCTGCAACATTACAGGGACTGTCAGAGATGTGCAGGAGTTGCAAGGAAATGAAAGAGCAGATTTTCTGGCTACAAAAGCAATAGCTACAGGAACATTCGTACTGGACAAGGGAGACCTTCTGAAGACCATTTAGGAATTAATGCTGATAGAAAGCTTGAAGTTAAATGGAAAAACATGTGTAAGAATGTGTGAATGAGGAATTATGTGTGGATCTGGCACAGAGGGACGAATGAAAAGAAGAGAACTACTTGTTTATAATCAATGTTCTTCGGGAAAAATTACACCTTAAGACATTTGCCACAGGAGACGGAACACCTATGGGTATGCACAATGGACTATGCTGACGATGATTAAATCAGTAATCAAGTTGCTTATCCCATACATAATGCCGAACCAACTCCAGAATTATTTGGTTGTTTGTGATTTCACTAAGCAGTTTTACATTCAGTAATTTTCCTTGCTTTTGAACATTCAGCTCTTGATACTGCTGTGGATACAAGGAGGTCTGCTGCCAAATCGCAGCTGGGATCAAACCTGGCACCTCAGAGGATATGAATTGTGTTTGCAACACACCTAAGCCACAGATACCGACTGGTGTTGCTTATGTTATTGTTTGTTTCTTGGATGCATGAGCTTTTTTTTTTTACATAAATTATCACCTGCTTTTCATGCCTTCATTCCCACAAAGTGCTAATTTCACTTTTTAACTTCTGCTGTTAAGTCGTATAAGTTTTGATTGCCATTGAGATTGATAGGAAGTGAGTGGATTCTGGGGCAGCATACTCTAGAAGATCTCTCTTACTTGGAAACCTTTCCTCACTTTTGTCAAGTCGTCATCTTTGCTATCAATTCCATATTTTGTCATTTTTCGTCTTTTTCATTCACAATATTCTGCAAATATTTCCTTAAAATAAAGTTAAGAAATCTCAGTGTTTTGATTGACTGAAGAATTATTAACGACCTAATTTGCATACACAGCCACAGAAAAGATGTTGTTCTGAAAATGTTTTCTTTAATTTGACCGCAAGGATTTTCCCAAGACAGTTAATGCTGTTTAACCTCTGCCTTACTTCAGAGATATAAAAAATGCACAAGAGATATACATTAAACAAGATATTTCATTAATGAGTATTTTACGGAGACTAATTATTTTGTTTACAGAACATTAGTTGTTGTGTGTCCACTTGTGTGCATGACTTAAACATGTGAAAGTTTGCATGAATTTGGAATTAACTGTTGGTACAGCAAGAAAGGACCATTAAGAGGAAATCTAAGTAAAGGATTCTTTTTCACTGCATTGGGTCAATGCATAAAAGTGCCACACAGCCAAGAAAGTATCAGTAATATAACCTGAGTAATGACATCATTAATTTGAAGTCAGATAATTATGACGTTATTCTGTACATACATTTCCATGAGATATAATTTAATTGTTTAATTTAATTGTGACTTACATAACAGGAAATTCGCATCTACAGAGGTAACTGAACATGTCTACAGTCAAGGTAATAGGGGATATACACCTACACAGGTGATTTAATAAAAAGCACATCTCCAGATGAGGTAATTTGAAATACACACCTGCAAAGGCGATTGGAAAATAAACCAGACAGGTAATAAGAAATGCACATCGGCAAACAAGGTAACAGAAAGTATTTGATTGTTGACAAACTGTTTTCATTTTTCACACTGTGAGAAATAAATTCATATGTTACAGCAAATTTAAGGTATGCAAATATTTCTAACCTCAAAGCAATTGACTTGTACATAAACATTGTATTAACATTCAACATTTGTTGAGCATTGAATAAGTAAACATCTACAACACTTGTAACACAATGGTTAAGTTATCCAACAATCATAAAGCTAACTACAACAAGTACCACAGTTAAGTTATCCAACAATCATAAAGCCAACAACACTTATAACACCATGGTTAAGTTATCCAACATTCATAAAGCTAACTACAACAAGTTAACCACAGTTAATTTATCCAGTCATAAAGCCAACAACACTTGTAACACCATGGTTAAGTTATCCAACATTCATAAAGCTAACTACAACAAGTTAACCACAGTTCAGTAATCCAACAATCATAAAGCCAACAACACTTGTAACACCACAGTAAAATTATCCAAAAATCATGAAGCTAACTACAACAAGTGTTAACCACAGTTAAGTTATCCAACAATCATAAAGCTAACTGCAACAATTGTTACACCCCATTGAGTTGTCGAACGATCATAAAACCAAATATAACAATTGTAACAACACAGTTAAGTTATCTAACAATTATAAAGCATACAAAAACAATTGTAACACCACAGTTAAATTGTCCAACAATCATAATAAAGCTAACTACAACAGTTGACTTGTACAGTAACAAACATTAACATGTTTCATAAACTTTGGCCTTTTCTCGGATTTCATTAAGGTACTGGTCCATGAGATCAGTAAGTCCACCAATTTTGTTGTGGAGTGTAGTCAGCCGTTGCTCGCCCCGGTCAAGGCTGTCTTGTAAACCTGCGGTGGAGAGAAGACATTCAGAACATGTATAAAATCTTGAGCATGACAATTACTGCACTTCAAACAAGCTGACATGTTCTCAGTATTGTAGATGATTTTCTAACTGAACAGAAAATGTACTTTCTCAATATCCTACCACAAATAGGGGAAATCCACAGGTCATGGGACAGCCTAATATGTCAGGGGGTGTTAGATGAAGCATATAGTGTAGTCATTTAGCATTTCATTTGCGGTGCAGTTTTGTGCTGTGCAGTTTTCATTTATCTGTGATTCTGTTTTGTGTTTTTCACTTTTATGTGCTTCTGTTTTGTGTGCTGTGCAGTTTTTTTTAATTCTTGTTTTTGTTTTCTTAAGACTAAGTACAGTTGGGAAAATGCAGTATATGTAAGTTGTTTTTTGTTGTTGCTGTGGATGAGGATGCAGCTTTGCAATTTGTTTGTGTGAGAAACTATGTGCAATCCATAGGATAAATTGCTAATTGGGGTACTTTAGGGGTGAGGGGGAAATCATTCTATTCTAGATGTATACTGCTGGGTTCACGAATTTACAATGGGAACATTTTACACGTCAGGGTTAGGATTTATGTTATTGCTAATTATTGGTAGAGGCGTCTTTGATTTTCTGTATGGAACACAAAACATAAAGCACTCGCCTGTACGGGATAAATGCCACTAAATAGACAACTGTTGTGGAAACACTCGCCTGTACGGGATAAATGCCACTAAATAGACAACTGTTGTGGAAACACTCGCCTGTACGGGATAAATGCCACTAAATAGACAACTGTTGTGGAAACACTCGCCTGTACGGGATAAATGCCACTAAATAGACAACTGTTGTGGAAACACTCGCCTGTACGGGATAAATGCCACTAAATAGACAACTGTTGTGGAAACACTCGCCTGTACGGGATAAATGCCACTAAATAGACAACTGTTGTGGAAACACTCGCCTGTACGGGATAAATGCCACTAAATAGACAACTGTTGTGGAAACACTCGTCCCACATGATTGTTCTTCCTTGTAAACAGACTTTTGTCAATTTCAACAGTGATGTTCTCTCCGCCGATCACTGCAGGATTCAATAATAATATATTGGCACAAACCTTCCCTATGTAGTTGCTCCACTCCACAGTTGTATTCTTCGACATGCCCAGCTCTACTTGGCAAAAATGTAATGCTTGTCAACTGGTGAGACCAGTACAAAAACAGAATGATTTGTTTTTAAAGCGAGCGCGACCCTTCCAGCCATGTTCCTTGTCTTAACGGTATGTTCAGTCAACAGGTCGACTTTCCACTCCGTCATCGGTCCTGGCTTTCGGTCAGCGATAACACATAATTGTTGCCACAACGCCTGGTGCTATGTCATGCTGTTGCAGGAAAGCTGCTCTTTTTGTCAAACGCCGATGCTGCTGTTTAATGGAAAAAGAAATGTGAGAAAACCTGGCAACGCCTTGAAAGACACGCAGAAAGCCAGGAAACAAAAACACAGACAGCGGGGAAACCAGGTCTTACCACCCTCGAAAATATTGGACTTTTCCGTGACGTCATGTGTGGTCGGTTATTGGGAAAGAGCCTAGAAGAGAAGTCGTTAAGAATGCATCCTGGTAACTTCAATTGTTAAAACCGATGCAGTGATCCTTGAGACTGCATCCTTCGGCCAGTGACCCGGTGAAGCAAGTTATTTATGTATTTATCTGCCTTCCCGTTGCTCTTGTTCCATCATTCTTGCCGCTCACCACCAAGTTATCAATCTCGTTTCATCTCATTAAGTTCGAAAATACCAGGGCCAAGATAAACACCGGTTGAAGCCAAACTTTACGCTTTGCTGAGTGCATTTTACAAAAGACAGTGACGTTCATACTACAGACACCATAGCAAATATAGATAATATATCTATAACGAACGAAAGAAGCAGAAGATAATGTTCAAAGTACACTAACTTAGCAGAGACTGCACCGTAACACGTCTTCAAATTCACATCAGCCATTCTGGCATCACTGCACTACACGTGCTAGTTCTTTTAAAGTAAAAACTTACTGCGATCAGTTTCGATTATAGGTGTGTTTTAGTTTCTTTTTGCCAAGGATGTGAATCCCCTGGGCACAAGTCGCAGAAACCCCGTCCACCCGTTAGGTTGTATTATGGCTACCGACGACAGACGGGTTTTGGCTTTGAAATTACGAAACATTTTGTCCTATCTTGGGGCAGGGTTGCCATATTGGCATTTTTTATGCCAAATTCCACAAATCTGGCAAAATTGAAATTGAACTGGCATAAGATAATGAACTGGCATATTTGGGTTTTTCCTGGCATTTCTTATCAAGATGTGTTCACATTTTCTTCATGGTTCCTTTGTTAGAAACACGCAAATTTACTAAAAGCAATGTTAAAAACTTCATTTCAGTTTGACTTTGATGTGATGTCCTGGTACGGACTAACGGAGATTCGCGCCATTTCTTATTGTTTTGTCTTCCTGAACGGATCGTGACTGCTATAAACCTCTGTAATTTATGTTAATTTACTAGAATAAATGCGAGATATAAAATGAAAACCCACCACTGATACCTAGTGATTCAGATTGTTCAGAAACTACTTGAGGACAGAAAACAGTTAGGATATAGACCTAATTCTATCTGTGATAGATTTTATTACTTTTACCAATGGCCGCGTCATCCAAAAAATGGAAAGCATCTCATGAAAGCAATCGCAAGTATAATAGTAATTGGGAGAAAACATACTCATGGCTCAAAAAATCTTCAGACGGATCAGAGGCAGCATATTGTAAACTGTGTCAGTGCACTGTTGCACCAAGAATTTATAGCATTTCAAATCATGAAAAATCCGAAAAACACAGGATGAAAACTCCGTCAAAAAGCCAGTCACAGTTTATTACAACAATAACTCGTAGGCAAAGTAATGATACAGTTAAAGCAGCAGAGTTGCAACTTGCTGTAAGCATGAACTGCCATTGTGCAATACGCAGAATTGATCATTTAAGTGAAATCATAAGAGCGCATGGTCAAGGGAGTACATTGGAGTTGCATAGAACTAAATGTTTATGCTTAATAAAAAAATATTATTTCGCCTGCACTTAAGGATGACATTATTGATGATTTTCGGAACAAGAAATATGCCGTCATTATAGATGAGTCTACTGACGTTTCCACTCAAAAGTACTTGTGCATTATAGTTAGTGTTTTTTTTTTTTCAGTGACAGGAAAAATGAAATATTTACTGGATTTCTTGCTTTAATTCTCTTGCAAGTGGCTACAGGAGAAAACTTATTTAATTTGATTGATAAGGAAATCAAAAAGTGTGGTCAGAGTCTTACAAATTGCATTGGGTTTGCGTCAGATGGCGCTTCAAACATGGTCGGTTGCAAGAACTCTGTATGGTCCAGAATTAAAGATGTGTCTCCTATTTGTGAACAGCTCAGATGTATCTGCCATTCACCAGCACTCTACATTTGTAGTTCAATTGCCAAGCTGCCATCAAACATTGGTTTCTTACTGTCAGAAATACCTCAGTGGTTTCGCCATAGTGATTTAAGATGAGGAGCCTATAAAGAACTGTTTAGAGTGATGAACACATCTACGGAGTTTGAATCAGAACGAACTGCTCCTCTTCCATTAGGTGGCTTGTGCGTGGAAAGATTATGTTCAACATGTTGGTGAACTGGGAAGAATTGAAAGCTTATTTCACATGTGCTGAATTAGCAGAGACAACGTTTGACACAAAATATAAAGTAAGATTGTTAAAGGAAATGCTGTTAGACCATAATAATTATTTGTACTTTGTGTTTGCGACACCATTTGTACAAGAATTTGAAAGACTGAACAGACTTTTCAACAAATAAAAGCTGATCCAAATGAACTACACCAAGAATTGTCCATGCACCAGAAAAGTCTTAAGAATAGAATGTATGACGTCACTTAGCAGAAAAAAAAATTCATCATTTCGACTTTGGTATTAAATTCATAACGGAATGTAATGCGTTCCTACAGAAGTAAAACGGGACTGAAGCTCAGATAGAAATAAACAATGTAAAAGAAAGATGCATGTCTGTGCTAGAGGAAGCTCTCAATCAAATTACGTGTAGACTTCCCACCGAGAATATATTTCAAAATCTGTCGTAAATTGAGCCCTTTGGCAGTTTTAAATCAAATATCAAGGACACAGTTTTCAGAGCTATAATTTTTACACCTGGCAGAAAACAACATCAGTATTATAGAAGAACAGTACAGAAAACTGATTGTTGTCAACTGGAAAGAAGAAGCTACATTTAAGAAGGATGGACTACCTATAAACAGTGAAGATTTTTGGATAGGCGTACTTCGACACCAGACATTTAAAGAGTTGGCCACTTTCGCCCTTACTTGCCTAATAATGCCCGTTAGAAATGCTGTAGTTAAGAGAATATTCTCTCTTGTTACTTCAACTAAATCAAAATCAAGAAACAAAATACAACTGGATTTTCTTGATGCAGTTGTCAGAATTAGAGCAGAACTATTGATATCAAAGAAATGTTGCAAAGACTTCATTCCGTCTGAGAAAATGCTTTAAGATTTTACATCCGAAAAGCTTTATGCTGCATCTCCCACTGGTTCTAGTGAGGATGACAATGAAGAATTCAATCTAGAGCTTTTTATGTGAAGTGAGTGCAATGTTACATTTTATTTGGCAATTTTCTGGCATATTTGGGGTGATGGTTTGGCATACAATGAAGTTTTTTATCTGGCAACCCTGTCTTGGGGTGCAGTTCTGTTGTCTACACTTGCCGACAGCATGCATAACACAGTCTCAAGATCACAGACAGTATTATCATTTTATCCAAATTCGTCCTTTTTAGGATGAAATTTTTTGTCATTCGAAGCCCTACTCTGGCTTTTGCCAGGGGCCGCAATTTAGGCAGGCCATTCATATGGCCAGATGTCTGAACGCGGTTTCTGGGACCTCTCCACGGCGATTCTCATCCGCATGGTGGCACTTTGTGTCATCGGGTGTTTATCGCTTGTGTGATGTCCTGGTGGGGTGGAAAGTCAGTCAGTCAGACAGACAGTATTGGCGACAAACAGGCATTCTAGACTTTTCCAGATGATTTGCTAGTCAGCCAGATTTTACAGTGTTGTGGTTTTGTAGCCGGCTAGAAGTGGTCAAACAACAGTAACGACTTTCATTCCAGACAGTTTGACAGTGAACCACCATGTACATACACGTCACGGCTTGGCGGTCGACTAGCCGACACTTCAGCCACCTCTGTTCTAGACGATACAACAATCGTCACACCAACCAAGCCAGCAGTACATAAAGTAGTAAAGCCCCAGTTCCCTGTTTGTTGCGGGGCCCCATTGTGTGTGTGCAGGGGGAGGGGGAGGGGGGAATAATAGACACCAACCAAGCCAGCAGTACATAAAGTAGTAAAGCCCCAGTTCCCTGTTTGTTGCGGGGCCCCATTGTGTGTGTGCAGGGGGAGGGGGAGGGGGGAATAATAGACACCAACCAAGCCAGCAGTACATAAAGTAGTAAAGCCCCAGTTTCCCTGTTTGTTGCGGGGCCCCATGTGTGTGTGTTGCAGGGGGAGGGGAGGGGGGAATAATAGACACCAACCAAGCCAGCAGTACATAAAAGTAGTAAAGCCCCAGTTCCCTGTTTGTTGCGGGGCCCCATTTGTGTGTGTGTGCAGGGGGAGGGGAGGGGGGAATAATAGACACCAACCAAGCCAGCAGTACATAAAGTAGTAAAGCCCCAGTTCCCTGTTTGTTGCGGGGGCCCCATTGTGTGTGTGTGCAGGGGGAGGGGGAGGGGGAATAATAGACACCAACCAAGCCAGCAGTAGATACAGTAGAAAGCCCCAGTTCCCTGTTTGTTGCGGGACCCCATTGTGGGTGTGTGTGCAGGGGGAGGGGGATGGGGGAATAATAGACACCAACCCAAGCCAGCAGTACATAAAGTAGTAAAAGCCCCAGTTCCCTGTTTGTTGCGGGGCCCCATTGTGTGTGTGTGCAGGGGGAGGGGGAGGGGGGAATAATAGACACCAACCAAGCCAGCAGTACATAAAGTAGTAAAGCCCCAGTTCCCTGTTTGTTGCGGGGCCCCATTGTGTGTGTGTGCAGGGGGAGGGGGAGGGGGGAATAATAGACACCAACCAAGCCAGCAGTACATAAAGTAGTAAAGCCCCAGTTCCCTGTTTGTTGCGGGGCCCCATTGTGTGTGTGTGCAGGGGGAGGGGGAGGGGGGAATAATAGACACCAACCAAGCCAGCAGTACATAAAGTAGTAAAGCCCCAGTTCCCTGTTTGTTGCGGGGCCCCCATTGTGTGTGTGCAGGGGGAGGGGGAGGGGGAATAATAGACACCAACCAAGCCAGCAGTACATACAGTAGTAAAGCCCCAGTTCCCTGTTTGTTGCGGGGCCCCATTGTGTGTGTGCAGGGGGAAAGGGGGGGGGGAATAGACCAAGCCAGCAGTACATAAAGTAGTAAAGCCCCAGTTCCCTGTTTGTTGCGGGACCCCATTGTGTGTGTGCAGGGGGAAAGGGGAGGATAATAGACACCAACCCACCCACCTACCCTCACCACATCATGACTGACTGACTGGCTGACTTTCTACACCACCAGAACCTCACACAAGCGACAAACACCCGATGACACGATGTGCCACCATGTGGAGGAGGATCACCGTGGAGAGGTCCCAGAAACCGCGTTCAGCCATTAGACCATATTTATGGCCGGGCTATATTGCAGGCCCCTAGACCAGAACCTGGGCAGGGCCTCAAATAATGAAACATTGCATCGATTAAATAGAGGTGTGTCCTTCAGAGTGCATCTGCATAAGAGGTCACAAACCAACAGTAAAAAAAAGTAAAGGACCTTTTTCCATTGCCTTTAGGCGTATATGGCCTATAGGGCTAGACCTGTATTTTTATAGACCAATCGGCACAAGATGGGTGATGTGGTCAGTATTACGCCGGCCGCCTCTACTTCCTCGGACTGCACCCTGTATCCACTCAAGGCTGGGTCGACCTGGCAGCTGAGGTCATTTTTGAAAAAAGTCTGGCTCCGCCTGGGAGCGAACACACGACCGATCCGCGGCGAGCGTCTAGCCACTCTCCACGGGGACTCCCACAAACCAACAGTCTGCTTATAAATAAGCCAGATCTGTAATATGGACGCGCACGCAAAACTCAAATTCTGGAAAGAGACTAAAACCCAAAAGAGGACAAGCCGAAGTTCACAGCCAGCACTGCTTTGAAATAAGAAGAACAAACTGATATACGACAGAAAATCTCTCAATTACCCTTCAATTCAATCATCTTGATGTTGGTGAACTGAAAGAGTTTCTCCGCACGATCCTTCAATCTTCCTGCCAGGCTGATCGCCTCCTCCGTCTCATTATGTTTGACCTTTAACTTCTGGGATGTGTCCTCGTGACTGCTTTCTAGTCCGTCTGCTTTCTGAAATATTAGAATATTCACAAATTTATTGTTAATAATGAAGTGATTTCATTGCATTCGAAACATTCACATACTTGCTCCACAGCCTGCTTCAGTAACCAATCAAGTGTTTCAATGTCGATGGTGATAATTTGTCTTACATTTTTAAACTTCTACTGATGGAAAGAGATTGTATGTTTGTTGCAAATGTGGAGAAAACTACGCATCATTACGATCGTGGATTAATTTTGAATTTTATAAAAGTGTGCCCATCATTCACACTTTATGTATCTTGTATTTAATTTTGATTTCAACTGACGCCGGTCTTTGCACTGGTGAAATGTGTCATATAACAGTAGCAGACGAGAAAATACTATGGAGGTGACAATTGAAATGACATGTATAAGGAATAGCCACTAGAGGTCCTCGGTAGTTGGCGTACTTTGGATAATATTTTCCAGATAATGCCGGTGTGATGGAAATGAAGGGGCAGATAGACTGGCTGGTTCTGCACCATTTGGTGATTAACTGATGCATGGCATGCTAGATGTTGTAAGTTTCCTTTGGGGGCGAACGAATAATGCGGAGGCACTAACAGATTTGTACGATCTGATGAGAATAGAGCTGAAAGGTGTTACCAGGAGATTTGGTCGACACTCAGGACTTAAGGGAAAGGCGAGATGAATATACTTTTTCTGCAACTCTGTGCTTGCTGCTGAAGACTTGAACAGGAGCGCTTACGGTATTGTCCTGAGTGATCTGTGATGTCGATTTCCTAATTCAGTATTCAGGAATAGCTATCGTTGCAGGTAACAGGGCAGCTGTCATCGTAGGTGACTGAGCAGGTGTCACCGTGATGTTAAAGGTGTCAGCACAGGTAAGAAGCTGTCAGTACAGGTAAAAAGCTGTAAGTACAGGTAAGAAGCTGTCAGCACAGGTAAGAAGGTGTCAGCATAGGTAAGACGGTGTCAGCACAGGTAAGAAGCTGTCAGTACAGCTGTTGAGAGCAATAAATGGAATGAAAGAGTCATGTCCCTTCTAGCTTTCTAGCCCGTCTGATTTCTACATTACAATACAGATGGCCCTTGATGTGTAGATTCATACTTAGGTATGTGATATGTAAACTGAGTCGGCTCTGTGGCTAAGTCGATGCGAACGCTTCGCTTCGAAATACCGGAATGCCGGGTTCGATCCCAGTTGCGGGCAGTGCGCCTTGCGTTGGTTTCGACAGTGGTATCAAGAAAGCCGACCGTCCAGAGGGAATGGAAAACTACTGGACGTAAATTTGCCAAGAGAAACCACACAACAGCCAGGGGCTGTTAGGGTTGGTTCTGCAACGTCCTGTAAAGGATACGCAACTAACTTTTTTTTTAACAAGATGTAAACTGAATGCAGACCCATTCGCCGTTTCACAGGGTTAAGAACCTGTATAACAGTACAATGGGAGATCACCGTGGGGATATTCAAAAATGAATGTGGACCTTGGTCATTCGAGAAAACTCACGTGGAGATGGTAAACTGTGGGTAAAACTAATGTTAGTCTCAATAGACCTCGTCCATTTACACACTATCTCACAATCGGGGCGGCGTTAGCGCAGTCAATAAGAGGCTCGCTTTCAAATCCAGCTGCGACTCGCTGCAGCCCACGGTCGGTGTTCGAAAGCGGGAGGCTCCCGGGGTTAACCCAACCTCTAGGAAATGGGCACCAGAGTTGACACTTATGGGGTAAATGGAGGAAAGTCGCTGTAGGAAGATTGGCTAATAAACAGCGTTATTTCTCGGAAGCTGAAATATTTTGGTCATATCAAGCGCTACAACGGATTGGAAAAAAACTATAGCAGAAGGCATGGTACCAGGAAGGAGAGGCAGGGGCCGACCGACACGAAGATGGGCACAGGATATAAGTGACTCCTTGAGGATGAAAGTACATGAGGCAGAAGAACTGGCGAGAGACCGAGTTTCTTTCAGGCAGACTGTGATGAGAGGGACGTTCTGAAAAGGACCTGCTACATGATGATGATGAACGTCAAACTAACCACGAAGATAGTGTGGGAGTTCGCTCCACCAAGAGAGAGAGAGAGAGAGAGAGAGAGAGAGAGAGAGAGAGAGAGAGAGAGAGAGAGAGAGAGAGAGAGAGAGAGAGAGAGAGAGAGAGAGAGAGAGAGATTACGACGTTGAAGTGGAAGGACACATCGTCAGAGCTCCTGTTAACTGATGTTATTTTTATGTGCGCAGCCGTTGAGCGGGATCAGGGAGATCGGGTGAAGTGCGTGAAGGTATGTTCTAGTCTGGATGTTGCCAGACCAGGCCTGCACAGCTATGTGTCACGCTGGGAAGTGGAGTAAGTGTCCAGGTTAACTGCGGGAGTTGCTGCAGTTGCCACATCCAACATGGCGGAGGTTCGTGAGGCGAGATCAGGATATCTCAAGCTACGTGGCAGGCCGCAGACGGAGGGTCTGGATAATTTCCACAAAGTACTGGGCACTGAGGCATAAGAAATATAACTGTCAACGAAAGCAAATCTCATAAAAACGTGTTTTTTTTGGGGCCGAAATTATGCTATCAGTGTCAAACATGGACCTTTACTACAAATAATGAGAGTAACAACAGAGATGCGTTGTCTCAGGAGAGCTGCCGGTGTGACAAGAAGAGATAAAATCAAGAATGAAGTAATTAGAAGAAGACTAGGGCTGAAAAATGTCATACAATTCATTACAGAACAACAAATGAGATGTTTTGGCCCTCTGTCGAGAATCCCAGGGTGCCAACTGCCGCAGAAAACCACGCTTAAGAAATATAATGAACACAGAGCAAGGGGAAGACCACGCAAGAGATGGAGCGACATCATCAGGAGAAACCTAACAAAATCTGAGACACCAACTTGAACAGTGCATTAGAACAAGCGCACAAAAGATCCTCAGATCTCCCTCAAAAAACCTTGACTAGGTAAATGCTGGAAGAGAAGAAGACGAAGAATTCTACATCCGCCTGCATAATCTCTGTAGTGACCCTAAATCCAAGTGAATAGACGTCAGAGAGACAGTCACGTTTGAGGTTTTGAATAACGAATCAACACCATGGCACACGGGTGTAACCTATAAGTGTTCCGTTCTTCTTCTAACTCAAGTCTGAGTCCGAAGAAGCTCAGCACAGTGCACAGGCTCTGTAGCCCCAGCGAGAATCCTGAAATGCTTTGGGTAGATTTTAACTCCAAGTTTTGCCGGGGCAGCGCGTTTAGGCTACTCTTTTCGATTTCCATCTGCCAAGGTTTTTTTTACGTGCGTAACAATGCACACTGGCGTCCGATCTAAATACCCAGAGACCAGAAGTCCAAATCCACGGCAAAAAAAAAAAAAGTATCCCAGCCCTTACCGGGATTTGAAACCCGAACCTTTAGCACTTGAGTCGGATACCATGCCTTTAGATACCGCAACCCCCTGGACACTCACGTAATCAGGAACAGTGGATTATGGAACGGGTAATGATTGCTCGTAGCAACCACAGAACCTAGGGTTGCAGGCGAGGTCTTCCAGGGAGTCTTAACTGTGTATGCAGTGGTAGCAGGAATGACTGTAGCATTGTGAAATTGGTATATCGTGTTGCCATCCATTGTCATGATATTCGAAATACAGTTGACTGACTTTGCTAGTCAACATGTCTCAGGTGTCCTCTATAACTGTCGAGCGGCAGTTGTGAACTGTAAGTGTGACACTATTAAGTAACCCTAGATACCTGGCAAGTATCCGGTGCATCATCACGGATCGCATGCCTAAACAGGTGAGACAGCAAACAAGCACTTACATCTAGCGCTTCGTTGGCAATCCTGTTGGCTTCATCGGCTGCCCTCTCTGCCTTGTCCAGTGTGTCCATCTTAAGGGCAGCATATCGTCTGGCTAGAAGGCCAACCCGTTCTTTCAGTTTTCCCAAAATGGCCGCAGTAGCTGTTGTCAGAGATTTGGCATTTCCAGTGTTTTCGTCAATCTGGAGAGTAACAGGAAAGGTCATTAACAACTGGAATTGATACACTATGAAATTAGGTTAGTTATGGTCATTTGGATACTATAGTTGTCGTGGATTTCTTTCATGGGCGCTTTATTCATCAAAAGAGTTACAATGTGTAGAGATCCAGGTGAGTTCCTACTTAGTGCACCACCCTCTACAGGTAGGTGGCCATTGTACCGAGAGAGGCCGAGCTATGTGAGATTTAAAAAAAAATGGCGCACTGAAGTCGATTCTATCGTGTTTAACTCAAAGAGACCGATTGTTTATATGGTTTATACAAATGATTAACATAATGGAACAAGAGTGGTAAACCATAAGTGCTCCGTTTTACTTCTAACTCAAGCGCGAACTTCGTAGCACCGGCGAGGATCCTAAAATACTTTGGGTAGATTTTTAATTCTAATTTTTCCCGGGCAGCGCCGTTAGGCTACTCTTTTTCAATTTCCAACGGCCAAAGGATTTTTTTTATAACGTGCGCAACAATACACACGGGCGTCCGATCTCACTTCCCAGAGACTAGTGCAAATTATTAGACGTCCACGTGAACAAATCCCAGCCTTCATCGGGGCTTGAACCAGGGACCTCCAGCACTCGAGGAGGATGTCATGCCTCGAGAGAAAAAGATGTGCCAAAGAAAATAATTAGAAGCTGTAGTGATTTCACCAGCAGTTGAATCTGCTTTCCCCATACGACGACAGCGTCTCGCTATAAAAACATACTTCTTGGCCAAGTGGACACCCATAAAATTAAGCAATTTGTTGCCACTGACGTAGGTTCTTCTTTTCGTTCTCTCTGCCAGCGATTTTGAGACGAGAAAGACACAGCCCTCCATGAAGTCTTTGGCACGACACCTGCCTTCTAATGATACAGCTTGGAAAAGTTCACGGAGGAATTGTGTGGTGCCATAGTTTTTCAGGTTAGACTGTGACACGTTTTTGGTCTATCTGCGCCTGTTGGTACCTCGACTTCAGAGTGTTTTTTGTGAGGATTAGTTCCCTTAGATGTCGTGGCTTAGTGCGGGGGAATTGTTTTTAAAGTATCCAGAAACCATGAGTTGTTAACCCCTTTAGCTCGGTACTATGGATATCGCAACCTTTCGGCCTTGATTCCATGATAGGTACCGTAAACATGAGAGAAATGTGGCTTTTCTGCCTACTCCCGGGCGTGATCCAGGTCGCCGTGCAGTAAGGTTTAACCTGTGGGAGATAATCATGATGAATGGACTTCTGTTTTAATGCTCTCTAGCTGGGTATCAAGCAGTGAAGTATTTTTCAATTAAATAAGAAAATGATGGTGCTCTCCCTGTGATTCCAAGGAAGTGAATCAGACATTTAACCGCATAATAAAATAGTGACAAAGATTATTTATTTTGTATCAAGTATGTTAAAGTTAGCAGGTCATAAAGAAAAATAGTCTAAACAGGTTGTTTAAAAAGGTGAAAACATACTGACAAATTCATTGTTTGGAGCAATCGCTGATTCTTGCACACAGTCAGTTTTGTAACAGTCAGTGTAATTATAATTATTATATTCTAATTATTATTATTATTACAAGGTACACAAGAATGTACACATATTTTAATAAATTATTTTTTTAAATTGAGTGTTAAATTGTGTGCGTCTTGACAAGGTTTGTTGTTCGTCGACAGTTCCCGCTCCCTTTCTCTATATTATGTACATTGTTTCCATGTGTACTTGAAGTATGTATGATACATGCATTTATTTATATGCTAAAACACAATTGTCACGACAATAATATACAAATAGGGTGACCATAATATCCTGAGCTGAAAACTGGACATCCCAATAAAAGTTTGAGCCAAAAACGGGACATACCACTACATTTTGAGCTGAAACGGGACATTCCTTGAAAATAAGTTTAACACACAAATTTTCTTAGGGCAGAGGGGTGAACGGGTTAGTTACTTGCTCGACAATGCTATTGAAACCGAACCATTGCCACCAAGAAAGAAATTAACAAGTATGCTCTTTAATTGCACTGCAAAATTATACTACAATGAAAAAAAAAATTTATATACATGAACTATTTTAAGGCATTACAATTCTCTAAAACATGCGAAATCTAATAAGATCTGTTCTATTCTCGACCATACTCATAGATTAAAAAAAAAAAAATCTGGAACAATTGATGTTTTTTTAATATCGACCAAACGACCAAGGCTGGCGTCAAAAACGACTGGTCCCTTGAAAACGGAACGGCTGGTCACCCTAATGAACTTCCTTGGAGCGGACCGTGCGACTGTTCCGGTCAACTGTGAAACGTGGGCCATCAAAAGATGTGTTGTTTTTCGGAATGAATTGAAGAGTGGAACTGTGATATTTATGTGTGTATTTACTTTGCATTCTATTTACATGTTCGAAATACGCCGTTGTGAAGTGTTAAGCTTTATTAACTCTGCCTGCGAAGTGTTCAGTGCCTCAAATTCATGTGAGTGTGTTTACATTTTTTTCGAATGCACAAAAGAGAAAAATGGCTAAAAGCTCACACACTAATTTTCAGTGGATTATGTGGATACATACTGGGTATTCCCCAGTTAAAATGTAAGTAGTTTCTGTTGTACTATCTGTTTCTATGTTGTTCTGTCTATTTTATTCACAATATTTTGAGCTGAAAATGGGACATCCTAAGCAGGTCAGCCACCCCCACCCCCTTTTTTCTCTCACCCCTCTTAAAAAAATTATGCTATTTATTATTATTACTTTTCGTTAAGAAACTAATACATTTTAAGAAGATTTTATTATATAAGCCTATCAACTATATAGCCCCGCTGTTGAATTAGTATTAACATGTTTTTCTCTGATGTATCCTTTTAGTCTGTATATATTTTTGTATATATGTTTGTATATATGTACATATACATGTTCTATTCTGGAGCTTATTTCTCGTGTACTTTTGGGGACGTCACCAGCCCCACAGCCCCACAGCCCTTACTGGAGACGGTGATTGTAAGTCCCTATATCCAAGCGTGTGAGATTATATGGGAACTGGAATAAGCAGCAAGCAGGTGAGGAATATCGGGGAAATCTTAAGCAGGTTAGGGCCGAAAATTCCACGTGTTGATTCAAGCTGATTCAAATCTTTATAAGTTTTGTTTCATCGTCGGCGTTTATGGCTTAGGCGTTGCGAACGCGCTTCGTAATGCCGCAATACCGCGTTCCATCCCTGGTGTGGGCTTTTTGGCAACAAATACTCTTTTATTCACAGTGATAAAGAGAGTTGATCGTTCGGATAACAGTGAAAATCTACTGAGTGAATTTGCCTAGGAAAAAACACAACACAACAAAAAAAAAAAAAAAAAAACGCAGGGGTTGATTTCGTTTTTTCATTGTATACTGCCCTTACTTTTTAATATTCTGTAATTACAGTTTGTTCTATGTAAAAGGCCTTATAGGGAATCTGATCCTTGCTTCTTAAAAAAATGACCAAACCACTTAATATAATATAATATTTAAATA